TTCCTTCGTTTGCTCAACAAAAAAGAATGAAGCCGCTGAAGCCCTCATCGTTTGCCTAAGAAAGAGTCATTCAGATTGGTTGACTGAGTGTGCGTCCTCAGCGACCCAAAGGTAGGCTGGAACTCGCTGCACATGCGCCCTAAAGGCAGTGCTTCTTGCAGCAGAATTGGAATCGGTTTCTCCTCCCGCCGCTACCCAGCTGGCAAGCAAGTGAAGGGCCTGAAGTAAGCCACAAGATACACTACATGAACCTTGTCTTGTGCCGTTCTTATCCTTTTTGTGTATGTACCAAGGACCAATGATGCCTTGCTCACAGGGCCAATCGTCAAATAATTTGTCTCCAAATCCTCGCAAATTGACACTGTGACACCCGATACACTGCTTCAATTCATGATGCGAAGCCACGGGCTCCTCAGACTGCATGTACTCCAAGGCAAAATCACTGCTAATCTTTCTCAGCCATTTCCATGGGCCAAAACGTTCGTAAAAGAGAAGAGCCTCCTGGCAGCATGATTATTCAGCGCAAGTTCTATGTGTATATATATAATTATACATATAATGATATATATATATATGTGTGTCTTTACAAGAGCAGAATCCCTGTCCTGCAACACCCGCATGAAGGGATGGATTGGGCTGTAATTGTCAATGTCGGCCACGGAATGCACATACCGCCTCTCAGGTCCGGATGGTTTGACCAAGAAAGGTGTGGCAAAGCGAGTGGTAAAGCGCTGGTAAACTGCTGTGACAAGTAAGACATACTGAATTTCTAGCTGATTTATAGCCTGAATTAGTACCCCCGGATTCTTGACTGGCAAACCAGGTTAGTAGAATCCAATGCGCGACAGTAAAACATCAAGACTTACACAACATGGCTAGTCTCGAAGGGTCTTCCAGGACCAACAGCACTTCCTTGAGCATCTCCGTAATTAAGAAACATGCCTGGGGCCCTCTTCCTATGACGCCAAGTTGACTGGTCTCCCATGTTGACTGGTCAATCTGTTTCGGAGCAAGGCAAAAAGCCCTTGCTACTGCCTAGAATTTTCAGGACTGAACAGTACCATCTTTTTCTGCAGTCTTTAGTTTTGTGAGGAACTTGATAAAGCGTGCGGCTGTACGGGGAATGCAATTTGCAAGTGAAACAAGAAGCACACAAAGGCTGCGATTCTCTCAAGACTTCTATATACATCAAAAGTAATATAGAATCAAGTCAGAGCTTTCGTGGTGATCTCTCGCCTTTCCAACTTAAGTCCAGATGAACTTTCTTAGTCAATTTGCCCTTGCGAACGTCCTATTAAATGGTTTTGTCAGACCAAACTCTGGAAGAAAAGGAACAAGAAAGATTCCAGGTTTTATGATGAACACCATGTTTCTGCCACTATTCTGACGGCATCGGGCAAAAGAGGATGATGGTTCATTCCATCACCACAAGCTAAAGTACACAACCTTATCTTGATTCACGATAGTTGGGATTATATACTGTAGGGGCCTTTCAATCTGCTAGAACTCATGATACATTTCTTGAATAGCAGCAGAAGGGTGTCGCGTGAGAGAACTTGACAACCTGGAGTTGGTGAAAACTGCCAAGGGTGGGTTAAATCACGGAAGGTCAAATCAGGCTTCAGCTGGTTTTGCATCACAGCCACATCAAATGCACAAGTGATGGAACAGTCACAGGGACTAGTGACTAGCACTTCGCAAAGAAAGACTCTCAACTTGGGAAGTCACTCCTGGCAAATCTGAAGTTCGATGTGACCCACAAAGTCTATTCATGCATGTCCTCAAAGCTTTGTCAAACTTACAGGATGCGTTTGGCTTTGATTGACGCCTCACACCATTCTTCAGCTTTCACCAAAGGTTCAAGTGTCACCTCTAGTAGGTCAACCTGACAGTGCTGGGTACAAAAGCCTGTGCACTGCGCAGCCAGCATTTCTCCTTTCTTTCCGAATATGCCAAAGCTGGTCCATGCTGCTGCCACTCTACATCAGGATTGGCTGGTGCGTCTTCACAGCCATGTTGATACCACACGTGAGCCAACAGATGAGTCTTCTGCGGTCAATGCCTCTTTGCTACTCGAGCTACGGAGGCTACAGCAAAGGCTACATTTCCGAAGTGGCCATGGGGTGCTATTCAGTCGCAGTATACATGGAAATCAAAGCTGCCAAACTTGCTGCCTCCACCTCAGCGGTGGAATTACACTAGTGAAGACCGGACAACCGTTTGGCGTTTCGCCGCCTCACTTCGCTGGCGAAAACAGAAAGGAGATTCCATAGCTTTTTGCGAGCTGAGTGTAGCGTTTCATAATGGACATCGGTGACAAACAAATCACCATGCATGCCACCTGCATGCTCTGACAAGCTTTTCAATTCTGAAGAATGAGAGCGTCCAGGTCTTTTAGTGCTACACATGTAAAGTGCTGCAGTCACACTTTGCCGGAGAGCAATTGTTGATGCGACCCCCCTTTTTATCCAATCCGTCTTTGCTGGCCGTAGCACAGACGCTGCGGACTCCATTTTTATCCTTTTAGGCTGTTTTCTTTGCGCTCTGTCACCTGTGCATGAGGGGTTCTCGCGTATGGATAGACCTGAGTGTCTACCATATCGTCGACGCAGACCATCCGACGAGCGTCGCATATATATATATATATATATGTTGTTCAAGAGCAAGAGGTGATGTTAGGGGAGCACAGACTTCCTTAGTGGAGAGATTGACCTTCCGCGGCTGGTGCAATCTGATGTTATGTTCCTTGCGGTTTTGAGAACACGTTGATTGGATTACTGAAGCAAGAGCCCTGGATTGAACTGGGAATTGTTGAAACTAAGTTGTCTTGTATCATACTCTTTTGTTCACACATTGCACTCACTAATTAGGATTGGATTCTTTTTATTGCCAAGCAAGAGGTTAAAGCGATGCAAGCGAAGCATATGTTCAAAAGAAATCGAGGCAAACATGACAAACGATGCTCCAAAAGCAGGAAGTAAGGGCTGAGGAGATGAACTCTCCGAACGAAGGCATCGAACCAGCCCCTGCCTCCACTCAATCTGCTGGTATTTTTGACCTTCCTGGTAAAGCTCAGATCGTAGTGCTGAAGCAATTGGATCTTCTGCTGCTTTGAAGGTGAATCTGCGCGCATATAGCCAACACATCGGCAAATAAACCATTCGGCAGTGGCACCAAAACCTTCCCGGATGCAAAGGAAACCATTGCGGTAGGAGCCACATTTCTGGTGGCACTGGAGCAATGCCCTGCCATTCGTAGACACCAAGGACTGCCAACCAGAACTTGGCCCAGGAAGGTGCATATAAAGCTCCACCATGTTGGCGCATGAACTGTCGCCCTTTCTGGCAGGCCTCCTCTTCTGCTTCCACACCAACCAATCTCAAAGCAACATAGTTGAGCACGGTCCCAAACATGGTGCTGGGAGACTCGATATGCGATCCCCAGCCACCATCTTCTTGCTGATGATTCAGTAGGTAGGCTTGGATGGCCTTACAATGAGGTGCAGGGAAGATTGTATCCATGTGCCCAGTGATGTAAGCAGCAATCACAAAACCCGGCAGCAGGAAATGTGGACCTCCATAGTCACCTGCCCATTGACCATCATCACATTGGAGCATCTGATAGAAACTAAAGCCCTTGCGCACCACGCTGAGGCAATCCAGTGGGATGTCACTGTCTGGCTGTGGCCCTTTCCATTCTTTCAGCTTTGCCTGTCGGAAGATGTGGTCACTGCTGTTTGGATTGTTAGCCGGGGAGAACAGCACTGGGTCTTCGGACTTTTCTGAGGAATAAACCCAGACTTGCTGGCCAGAGACTTGGTGTGGCAAAACCTCAGACTGCGCTTCAACACACGGTTTCCAGCCAGCATCGACTTTGTGCGACTTCTCCTGGAATTTGGCCTCTCTCTTCAACTGTTTGGATGGAGGTATGGCATCTCCAGGATAAGATGCTGGCCTTCTACGAAGCCACACAAGCACGGCGACACAAACTCCACCAGTGAGAGCGACTGTCTCAATACTCACAGGAGATCGAATCATTGCAGCAAGCTGCTGGTGAATGCACAGGTAAACTGAATGAGCCAGCTTTTCTTCATTTGGACTCTTTTCAATCAAACAACTCTGGGTGCTGAGTTCTTTCGAGTGAACTACAAGTGATGCTGTCCTGAGCAAATTTGTCTAAACGTTCTACTGCTATGTTTTGCAGTGCCTCCAATATACAAAAGTTTGCAGGCCTGTTGTGCGTGGCCTGTGTCGCGCGTTTCTCCCACTCTGAACAGACACTGTACGAAGGTACAGTAGAACTGAGAGCGGCTGCAGTAGCTATAGATGTGAGTTTAAAAAGATCTGTCGTTGCTTCTCATTGTCATTGCTTCAGGGTTTTGCGGCACCAGGAACCACTCCACCTCTCCTGCTCAATGTTCAAAGCAAAAGACAAAAATCTTGAGAAGGACGGCAGGACTCTCTGCTTGTCAAAGCCAGGTCCTCAAAGCTGGAGGCACTTGTTCAGCTTTTACAATCGAGCCTGCAATCACTGGGACTAAGCTAGGCACACATCAACAAAAGATCCATGAAACCAAAACAAGAGCCTCTGAAGACTGAAAACTTTACAGGCTAAGGAGCCAATCAACAGGAAATACAAATGATATCGAATTAAGGAGCCTTCAAAGACAATCTTTGGCGGAAGCATACTGTTAGCTTTGCTCTTCAACCCTTGAGCTTGATGTTTGCTTTGATGCTTATCCCTGCAGCTTCTGTTAGGAGAGGAGAGATCTCTCTATTTCAATCTACATACACGGTTCATGTTCATAGATACCATGATTGATTCAGGTTCCTAATTTGCATCTATGTCTACAATGCTTGAAGACTAACTCACAAAACAAGTGCATCACCAACCCCACCCTGCAGTGCATGCAGTTGACCTGTGAGCCGAAAGCTGACCATGCAAAAGGACAACTTCAATTGCAAAATCGAATACACTTGCCACGAGAAGAAACAATGCACCAGAAGTCGCCCAGTTCTCTCACAAATAAAGGCACTCCTCTTTCTCTAAGCAGAGCCAGTGCCGGAGAAGCATGCGGGAGAAAATAATGTCTGCGCAGACAAACATCACTGAGGCTCATACATCAAGTGGATCTCGAAGGAGAAGTCAATCAGGCCATTGTCCTTCATCTTGCCCTTCATGGGTCCTGCTGCCTCGTCATCGGCGTTGTAGAGCTTGAAGTCAGAGTCAGGGATCCAGTCCTGGTCAAATGCCAGCTTCTTCCTGGCAGCCTTGATCACTTCAGACACATCAGCATCAGCCCGCACCATCATGCGGTAACGTTGACCCTGGGCTGGAGCAGTGGCCATGACTTCGACCACATCCCGGGTCAGCACAGGATCCCACTCCCTGGCAGCACCCTTCATGGCCATGCGGCTGCTTCTCTCAACGGGCTGAGGATTCACGAAGGACACGGAGTTCAGGGCTGCCAGGCCAGCCAGCAGCACCGCGCCTGCAAGGATG